TGACTTCAACTGCAGTCAAGCCCCTGGAAAAGGTTGGTTCCTATGAATGACAATAAAAACATTACCTAAATTATAATGTTAGCACAAATACATATGCTCTAAAATCTTGTTAATGTGTCCGTTTCCTTAAACGTTCAATTCACTTGAAAATTCTATAGTTCCAATCAACACGTAGGAAGAAGGGTTTCTATACATTGATCGAAAACTCCTGAAATGGTGCACATTGTCAACTTTCCAAAATATCATTGGAAAGAGCTCCAGAAAATCATTTACCTGACTACAGCTAACCTTGAGTTCTTGTAGTTTCATGGAAAAACAGCATGATTTTGAAGTCGAAAATCCATACTTTAGCTTCTATAGGACTTCTATAGGCGGTCTCATCTACAAGAGTATAGGAACTGAAAGCTTCGATGGGCATTTCATAAGACGATTTTTTGACTACAATGTTCTCCTTCTTCTGATAGACAAAAACGAATAATTAAATTCTACCCTACTTTATAGATCGAAAAATTTAGACATGCAAACGACATGTCAGATGATTCAAGAATGGGACAAAGATGCTCGAAAAGCCATCAAACGACGACAAGCATTTGACAACAATATCGGTGAGTTAAGGGACAAATGAGGAATCTTGGGGTATACTTGAGTACATCTGATTCTTGCATATTACTTATGAGCTACTGCTATTTGAAATCGCCATTTGATGCTTCAGAATAATATCATAAGTTATTATGAGTCTGTTTCTAGCGCATTTCTTAAATGTTCCAGTTGAAAGACATCGGATCCAGAACATTTGAGCTTTCTTTGTTTTGCTATTTATGTCGCTCTTCTGTCAACATAGTTTTTAGTTTATCAGCATTTCAATAATGCAGCCGCATTTTTGACAAGGAATTTTTCGCTTGTTCCAATACCAAGGACATTTTTTCAGGTGCCCCCGGAGTGCCCGGGAACCCAGATTTCAGTCCAGCGATACCACAACGATTTGCACCCTCTGCGCAAGGGTGCATGAACATCCCATGCATCTGCCCCTATATGGGAGTGAGTTCTAAATTTTTTCAAAGGTTATTACTCGAAAAACTGGACATAAAATTCACAACATTCCACTGTCCATCTTAAACACTGTATCGAGGTCATTTACACCTATTGGTTATAAAATAGAGGCGAAAAGCCTTGAGCTGTCAATTCTGACCGTGCCGCTCCGTTTCGGTCGTTAATAGCCTGAAAGAAACTCTATGAACCGTTCGAAAGTTGGGTTAACGATGAAACTGTTTGCGGAAATCGAAAATGAGGTGTGTGAGGTGTGTCGTGACAATTGGGACAAAAGATCGCAATAACTATGGCATGTTCACTATTTTTTGGGGTCAGCAAATTACATCATAAAAACGTATATCTTTTTTGAACTGTTATCAAACACACCCTACTCAGTCGTATGAGCCGCACTTTT